TAGTCCCTATTTTGTTGAAGTCTTTTCCTTCTCATTTAACTCCTCATTAAAAGACCAGAGTGAGAAACTGGGACTTTATTTAGATTCTTACTGTGACAATCACTTTCACAGGCTTCCTATCTCAAAGCTGTTTTTTTCGAGACTAAATGACTGTTACATGAAACATTTGTATTCGTGATATATGTTGGTTATTTCCTTCTTTCAGAGTTGATATGAAAAAGTAATTAAAATAGAGCATATCTTTATTATTGTTTAGTTAAATTACAGTAAAATATTTAAACGTATGAGAATACACTTTCTATTGACTTAATGCTTACAATTTATCTTCAGCTCAACTTCATCAATTTTTAATTTTGCATGTGTGTGATTATTTGCAGCATAGTAGCTATGCCATATCTTAGAACATGGTTTTTTTGTGATTTTTTTTTATGTAGACTTTGAAAGCTCAGTCAAGAAGTAAGAAAGAAGAATAAGAAATAACTAAGTCATAAATAAAATTGCAGAACTTAAACTGTTCAGGTTTTATCATACCATTTGGGGTCACCTACCTTTTCTGAGAAGCTGTCCAGAGTAAACAACACATCCTTGTCTTTCCCTTTCTACCTGCACCTTTTTTCCTTTCTTCCTTCATTCTTTCTATTTCTTTTGCTGCTGCCTAACTTTATAGTTTAGCTTTCAAGGCAACTCCATAATAATTTCTTTCTTATATTCTGGAAAATAAAATTAATTTAGACAGAAAGACAGTTAAGTCTTTCTCTCTCTATATTGAAATGATAAACATGAAAAGGCAAAAGTGGATATTCTGTAGCATGGAGTAAATACAGGATCAGAGGTGGAAGCAATACAGATGATAAAAAACCGTCAAATATTTTCTTTGCTAATGTTCATTAAAATAATATTTGTTTTCTTATGACTTTTTTCTTTCTTTATATGTGACCATTGATTATAAAGATAAGAAAATGATGGGGAGGAAACTAAATGATAGAGTGTTAGAAATGCAAAATGATTCAAAATATTAATGTAATGCTAAGGATGACTGGGTAACAAATGGTACATTTGCCAGTATGCTTGACCTGACACAATTAATATTCCAGGTCATGCTTGGGTTTCCATGATGGAAGGTCTGAGGCAGAGAATTCTAGGGGAAAATATATCTATTGTATAACTCATTTCTCTCTCTCTTTTTTTTATTTTTTTTTTTTTTTCCCTGACGAGTCAGAACCATAGTCTTAAAAAAAAATATATCTGTGCTTTCACACCTCATTTGCCATATTCACCACTGGGCCACCATTCACCACAAGGGCCTGATGCAAGGAGATCAGTAAGAAGCTATTAGCAGAGTCCCCTCCTGAGATTTCTTTGGTCTTATTGAGGTGGAAGTTAGCATGACAGTATTGCAAATAGCTCAGTTGTAAGTTTTTTAACAGTTAGCACAGATTTCCCCATAGTGTTTGTCACTTTAGAAAATTATTCCTTGAAATGGAATCCCAAAAGCTGGCTTTGACAGAGTCCTGAGTGTTGAAGAGCATAGTACAGAAAAATGTCATTCTCCCTGAGACAAGAGGTACTTTTTGTAATCTATGATAATATTTTGGAGGGTTACATATTTTCTTATGAACTAAAGGTGCAGAAAATATTGAAATCATAGTTTGATGTAATACTTTTCTACCATTGAAAAAGCAGTATTAAGTGCAATGGTTTTGTAGTTGAGAGAATATTGTATTAAAGTGGGGAAAAAATTAAGTAATGCTTTTCATACATTGCACTTGTTTCAAGAAGATATGCAAATGTATTAACTAGCAAAGGCTTTGCTTCTCCAGATTTTTAGATTTCTGCAGACTGCCAGTTCCCTGCAGAGGATGTAGTGAATAGGACATTCATCACCACACTGCACATGTGCAAGAAATTCCAAAATTAAGATTAAGATTTACAGAGATATTTTAGTGGAAGCAATTTTTCCAGAGGTTAATCTGAACTGGAAAGTAGAATCCAACTCCTCCTCTTGTCTCTCCTACCAAACTTTGCAAATTTTTCATTTAGGCCTACCCTTACTACAAACCTTGGGGAATTTAGAGTAAATTAGTATTCATTTTATCTATCTAGATACTAATTCTGCTGATTGCTCTGCTGTCTTGTTGAATACTTAAACATATAAAATTGAAATGTAAAATAATTAACAAGGATTGCTTGAAAAATTATTATTTAAAGATATGCTTCATAATCAATTTTGACCCATATCTTACAGTGCAACTTTAGAAGAAGGAAGAAAGTTTCCAACTGGCCTCACTAAACTCCAAATTCGCTTTCATAGTTGATATACTATCTGTATGTGTTTAATCTGAGAATAGGTAAAAAAAGAGTAACAGAAGATGACTCTTTGTTAAGACACCTTTTCAGCAATAATAAGTCAAAAGACACTGAATGAATGGATTTCCACATCTATTGTAGCTAATTTTGGTTTCATTAAAAGTGCTAAAAGGCAATCCTATTAGTGCATCTTGAGATACTCAATAGCATTTCACAGTGTTTGAACCTTTTATGAACTATAGCTTTTTATTACTGCTGAACATTTAGTCAGAGGAACACAAAGTAGAATATACATAGTACCTCAATATAGATTGCAAAATGCAGTTTCAGAAAGCCACTATACTCATGTAGACATATACTAGCTCTCAATGTGACTAAAAGAAGCAACACCATTTTCTGGGACCCAGACAGTGCATCAATTTAAAGTTATTGCATGTAATTCTTCAGAGGAAAAACATTTAAATTATTTAAGATGTTGTATTTTTCCACTTTGGAGAAACAAAAACAAAAATCGAACCTGAGCTATATAGATTGAAATAATCTAGTATTTTTTTGGTTAAAAAAAAATGAAAAGGTTTCCTCCCCAATTTGCTCATCAACTTAAAAAGGCATGTAAATTTTGGACAGATTCAGCCCTGGTCAGGATTTGCTACTGATCAACAAATCCATGCCTGCCAACTCCAGAGAGTTGTTACCATGCCATGGTAGTTTGTTACAGATCAGCCTGATTCTCAGTTATGCACGAGATGTTTTTCTTCTGGATAATGTTTACATTTTCAGTGACATTGTCAGAATGTAGACAGATCCAATGGCCATGCTGGGACTAATGAGTGAAGGGATATAAAGACCATGGCATAAAGATGGTTTCTGTAACTTCAGCATGGAATCTAGTTTGTATTAATCTAATACATATTCTATTTGTATGGAACTTGCATTGACTGTGGCATTTTATGTTTGAGAGAACTTGTGTAACATGCATATAATGTAAATGCATTCAATAATTGTAAGACAGTGCAATAAAGTCAAGACAACATATGGAACTTGTATTTATGTAGCACTTACAGATCACTAAGTATTCACAAGCAAAACCCAGTACTGGGCTGATAAGAAATTTGCAATTTGATTGTATGAAACACTGAAAAAATACTAACAGCATTAGGAGGATCTGTAACTTTATGAGATGTTTGTGTGAGTAAGAGCCAGACTTGCAGAACCAAAGATTAAGATGCAGCTGGACCTTACAGATCACACAGATGGACCTGCAATTTCACATTCACTCCAGTGATTCTGCTTGCCTGCTGTTTGAAGCATGGATCCCTGCCATTTTAGTCTGGCATCCTGAAGAGCTGAATGAACAACCAGTGGTTGCTTGGCATACATACATATATGTTTCTACCACTTATCTCTATTCATGTCCTCTTTCCCATTATACATTTAGACCATAGTTTATAGGGTTTGCACTAAGAGGGGAGCATACAACAGAGGACCAAAATAAATTGTCATTAGAGCCAGATCACTCACAGAGTTGAAGAATATAGCCCATAAAACTTTGACTAGCCCAACAGTATTTTGGATAAGCTACCATCTCTGAATATTCTAGTGCATTAAACACTGTGTTTTATATATGCCGTATTTAACTGTTTTGACACAAGAAACTGGAACTTCCCAGTAGGATATATTAATGAAAAATGCATTAGAGCTAATTGGGAAGTGTTCAGTCCTCTCAACCTCAAGAGATTAATACTTTATGAGGAGGCTAACGCCCTACATTGTTTTCTCATGGGTCCTCTGTAGCATTCCAAAGGAGCAATACAAGATTTTAAACATTTACTCTTTTCCTTAATTTTTCCTGCATCATGAAACTGATTTCCCTATTTTTATTCAATATTTCTTAGCAATTAGAATTAGGATAAAAGCAAAGGATAATATATTTTAACTGAGAAAATCTACTTTAAAAGTCTTAAGAATACTCTGAGTATACTGTTGTAGAAAATATAATTATCCTTAAAGCAACTCGTATCTTTAAATTAATTTTTGCCAGGTGTATTTTAAGCATATGTTATCTGTTTTATAGAAGATTTAGTGGCTTTGTGCAATATGGAATAGGAACTCTCATGTTTAACAGTTCATAATTAATTCAGTAAACTCACATATGTCTGTTTGGGAATTGTTTATATACAACTGATAAAATGCCTACATTTATAGGAATGATTTGGGAACAGTCTGTCACATAATTTTGACTTGCCAGATATTCACAGATTGTTAATTATGTATATTACTAGATCAGAATTTGAAATGTGTGCTTTGTATTAGTCATTGTTATATTAGATCAGAGTAGTGATTCAATTAATGATGTATCCTGAAAAAAAATGAAATATCAAATTCAATGAAGAATGAATCTTTCAATTTAATTCACAATTCAGAAATTCTTGTGCTAAATTTTGGGGTTTTACAAGTTTTATGCTATTAAAACTAAACACATTTGAATAGTTATAGGAATTTATTGTGGACATTTTGTTGGGGAAAAAAGTGAATATTGAGTTTTGGTATTCCATAAATTTTCTTCTATTACTCCTGAACTAATGACTGTTTTGCTTTTAAAAATGCTGCAGGTGCCACTGTCTATTTTTGTTCCTGTTGTGTATTAGAATCTAAATAAGTTGAAGTCAAAGGTAACCTCATCTTCTGCTCAGATTGCAGGCATCTACAATTCACCATTCAGAAAATCCCCAGACCCAATGGAACTGCTGCTACGAAATTCAAAGCCACTGAGCCACAGAAGGAAGCAAGTGAAGAGTCCCTTTGCCTATGAGCTCTATGACTGGCCAACTTGTAAGAAGCCCCCAGCTTTCGTCACAGCACTGCCTCTGCCACCTATTGGCAGACAGAAACCTCAGGTAACATTTTTCAGTGTCTCTGAGGCAGCTTTTGTTCATATCTTTTATCATAGATTATCTCAAGTTAAATCATTAGGTCCAAAAATCCCTTTTGTGGATTTGTTGTTTTTTGGGATTTTTTTTTTTGTTATATATATCTAGTGCTTGCATTTACGATAAAAAGTCTTTGAACAGAGATTTGACTTAAAGAAATCTAGGTGATATTTAAAAACAGGGAAATGTGATTCCTTAGGTGTTGCTTTTGTCCTTTGGGGAAAAAAGTGTAATTTCTGATATTTCAAAGGTACGACCTCGTATAATTGAGTATCAATTTTATGATTCATTAGAGTTAGAAATCATAATTTCCAATTTTAAATCATTAAAAAATAGGAGAAATGAAAGGTAATAGGACAAATTAACCAGTTGTCATAAATTTTTCCTCAGTTTGCAGTTGTTTCTCATAAGAAGACTAAAAGAGGTACTCTCAGTTCAAAATAGTTCCTGCTCTTTTTGTCTACTGTGTGTGTCAGCTTTAATTACAAAAATTTCTACATTTTGTTCTCCGTCGCAGCCAAGTTGCCCAGCTTGCATTCTTAACTGTCAGGGTCTCAATTTTAATTTCAGTTGATGTCAGCATGTGTTGCAGATAGCTTTTTTTCCCTGTTCTATAAAGTAATGGACATCTCTGAGATAATGCATCAAAGTGAACATCTCACAAGTTGGCAAAACAGCTTTTGTCACCTTATAATCAAAACCTGCTGGGAATGTGCCCAATATACACAGCAGACAAACTTTTGAAACCTTTGTGCTCCTCAGGCAAGTAGCAATAAGACAAGAGGACATAGCCTCAAACGGCACCAGGGGAGGTTCAGGTGGGACATCAGGAAGAATTTTTTCACTGAAAGGGTGGTCAGGCATTGGAATGGGCTGCCCAAGGAGGTGATGGAGTCACCATCCCTGAAAGTGCTCGAGAAATGAGTGGATGTGGCACTTAGTGTTATGGTTAAGTTGCTAAGGTGGTGTTCAGTCAAAGGTTGGACTCAATGATCTTGGAGGTCTTTTCCAACCTTTATGATTCTGTGATTCTAAGCAGTTGCAGGCCTGTGAGAATACCTCTGGAGAAGTAGAGGTGAGCTGCACAGAGATTCACACTGCTTATAGCAGTAAAAATCAACTTCAGAGCAGTTCTCCACCTTTGTCCTTCCCTCCTTATGTTCTCCCTACCTTGACTGCTTGAGCTTCTTCATGGAATGAACTTGTTGACTCGTTTCAGAATCGAGACAAAGTGTGAGCCACTAAGCAGTCTGGGTGATGAGGGAGTTTGGAGCTGAGATAAATATGACATTATAGCTTTACCTTCTGGGACCAAAGGGGCTGTGACAGTCCTTGAGCAGGACGTGACTGAATGCATTGTCTCTCAGGACAGAGAGAAAGATTTTGCCTAGTGGGCATGGTACAGGAATCATGCTTTTAGATAATTAAGTAACTCGAGAGTTTTCCATTGTTAAGGTACTCTTGCAAAACCACTTTACTGTGTACAAAGTATCTTACAAGCTTCTGTTCAGATTTGGAATATTTTACAGACCTTTCTAAGTTCAGACGCACGCACAGCAGTCTTGCACAGATAGCCTTTTAGAACAAACCAGAAGAGTTCTGTTTATTTTCTGCACCTCAAAGAGGGAATTTACTATATAATACTTTAATCCTTTCAGCACCCTGGGATGTACACTGTGGGGTAAATTTTCAAAGCACAGCGCGTGGATTTAGCTGCGCGACTCTTATTGATGTTAATGGGAGTCACACGGCTAAATCCCTGCACAACACTTTGACAATTTAGGGTTGTATGTCTAAGAAAAGGACACTGGTTTGAGCTGATGAAACAGCTGGAAACGAAAACCCATCAGAACACACCATCCTGAAAGTTGTCTGGTGTGACAATAAGAAATTTAATTACTAGATATGCTTGTGTCCTAGTTCTCTGTGGTAACACTTTTTGGCACATTTCTTTTTCTAATATTGATCTGGCTCACTTTGAGTCACTAGTTACTTTCTTTCAGGTATCTAAAATTTTTATTGCTTATATGTTTGGATATTTTTTATGAGGATGTCAATTGTATATGTTTAAAAGAAAAACACAAGCTATCTTCCAGTTTTCTCTTAGGGAAATGGATATGTAGCACTTTATAGGTAAGCTCTGTGAGTATAAGATAGTGCATTTAAAAGAAAAGTTTTAATGATGCTTCTACATTGGTTAGATCTATCATTTTTATTACTGAGTTCACTAGAATTACAGTTTCATGGAAACACTGATAATGCTAAAATTAGTCATGTATTCATTAAAAAGCATTAATAACAAAAAGCACATTACCATTTTTAGGAGATTTTTTGCATGCTATTAGGTGTTCTGGAATGGAGAACAATGAAGAATGCATAATTTCATGAAGATCATATTTTTTATCATGAGTTCCTGATTTTATGGTAAAGTAGTAAGAATGCTGATCTGCTAACCTTTATTAGGCAGACCAATTGCTATTAAGAAGATTTATGCTACTCACTACAAATTCCAAATAGAGCTGTGTGAGTTGCTTTCAGGGTGCAGACTGTTGGTTGCCTCCTTCCCTTCCTTTCCTAGCCTGACCTCCCCAGGAAAATTTCCATTTTGAAGCAGGATGCCTGAAATGCTTGCAAGCATTGTCAGTTTGAAAACATTTTTAAGCACCATTCTACTGCAGTTTCCACAAATCTTGAAGTTAATCTTATAAAATGAAAATAGATAAATGGATTTTTTAGAGGTCTTGTCATTTAAGATACATTACTTGGGTGCCTATTGCTAGGTAAGTTTCTTCAGAGATGAATCAGAGAAATGGATAATTGTGCAGGGAATATTTAGAATTATGTCAGTATTCTAAAGTATATACCCTGCTTTCATTAGTGATGACACAGCTTTATTTGAGAGGCCTTTGCTTAGTTGCACTCTTTCTTCCCTCCTTCCATTAGTAGTTTCATTTGAACTATGGACTGATGGTTTTGTTTTTTTTTTCATCTAAGCCCTAATTAGGTCTTAGAAATTAAAGATGGAGAAAAACCCTTGCTTGGATGTCTGATTTGACCCTTACCCTGGTGGCATATGAGTCAATATTTTGCAGTGAAGGAAAGATGCAATATTCTGAAAGACTACATTTAAAAGCAAACATATTTATCTTAATATTGTTTGATAATAATACTTTTCTTTCCTTTCCTCTTTCCTCCATATATCCACTTGCTGCAAACATCTTGCAATAAAGAGCATTCCTTTTTAATAATAAATTTTAAACTTATTTTATAACTTGCTTGTCAGATTATGTATTACTAGGTAATGCTGTTACTAGGTTTAGTGACCTGTTCTAGTATTGATTATTCTCACAGGAGGTAACACTTTCCATTCTGTTTTTAAAGACTTATTGTGTTCTTTTTAAATGAATGTATCTTTTCACCCAAACTTAGAAAGCAGAAGCAAGAGGATATCTGCAAGAAGTGTAAATATTATACTTATTTTCTTACTGAGACATTTTAAAAGATCTCAGAATCTTGGTGCTGTGCCTTTAAAAAGTAAAGTTCCAATAAAAATCCATTAACTACTTTCAAATATAGCAATCCTCCTGTCCAGCTGTGAAAAGTACTAGATGATACTTATTTGCCATTTGTGTTATTTACGGTCCATGACTTTTATGGTAACTGGTTCCTATTATTGGTTTCTATTAATGTAAAACATAAGTGAACATAAATGAGGCGTGAATCATTTCTTTTTATTAGCCCCACAGTCTTCACTCAGTGCTTGCAGTAACTCCAGCTGTGACTTGTTAGTGATAACCTATTTAAAGAAGGATATCTTTAAGAATAAAGGCTGTGATTAGAATTCTTTGTCTGTTCATAGTTTCAGAAGGTTTCACTAGTTCATTGCAAGATCAACAATGATGAAAATAAAAATTAATTAGTAATACTTCTAAATCCTGGGTTGCCACTAAACTGTCCTGAGTGTAACATGGCACTAATTATACTCCAAGTAAGTTCTTTCAGGTTAATACTTAAAGCAAGATATATAGGATATGTCACTTCAGCAGCACAGGAGAGGACTTCCTGCTGCTATTTATCCATGTTGTTAAATGTCAGATGCTGATATAACCAGTTATTAAACAATATACTCTGGAAAAAGACATATATGTGTATTTTTTTAAGAATAATGAAATTATTGTGGAATTAGACTTTTCAAAAATGGACTATAGACCTGTATTACTGAATTCATTAATTTGAATTGTATTAGAAGAATTATATCTTAAGTAATGTATTAAGTTCTCTTACAGATAGCTTTATAGTTAAATTGAAAAGAGCATGTTCTTTAAGGTCAAATATTATTTGTCCTGTGGAAAGAAAAAAACATAAGCTATCTGCTTAAGCAGAATCTAGATACGGTTAATAATTGTGTATCAGATTTTATTTCACTGATATTTTTTTCTGAGGAAAAACTTAAGTTTTTCCTAATCAATTCTAACAATATATTGTTTTAAAATAGTAAGTGTTTGTTAGTAGCTAAATAAATTTGTGGTACACGTTTCTCATTCTCTCTTTGGAGCTCTAGAGTATGTTATCAACTTCTGTGTTATCTGTAAGTCTCTATCAAAATGAACTGCTTTAATTATTTTGGAAGAAAAGTCTCACTACACTTCCCAGACATTCTGTGTCCTCTTTCATCAGTGATGTGCCATGAATAAAAGACGAAAAGAAAAGAACTGTAACCCCACAATAAAACACTTTACATTATCCTACACCTTTCAGGGGCCTTTCCGCGATACCGCTGAAGTATTGTGGCAGCGCTACAAGCCTTTGGAACCAACCTTGCGAGTGGCAGAATCAATCAATTCACCACTGGAGAAGGCCAGAGAGGGAATAAAAAGGGAGGAATGGAGAAATCCTATACATGACAATGAGTAAGTTCTTTGGTTTTTTTCTTATATTGTTATGAGAATGTTTTCTTTATTCCATTGCTTTCAGAAACCTTTCATGCCTGACAAAATGAAATGTCAAACCTGACAGCTTACTAGCAAACATTCTATGTACATACTTCTAAATTCTGTGTCCTTAGATTATAAACTGCTCAGGGCAGAGACCCTATCTTGTAATTGTGTGACATGTGCCATCCATATCTATGAATCTGCAGAAGAACTTGTAATAATAATATGTGATGCAACAGATGCGTTTAATGGGAAATAAGAAAACAAATGCAAATTCTGTTTTGCCACATACACCTTGCCAAAGAAAAAATACTATTTCAGTCTTCATATTCAGGGACCTCACTGGTTATGGGAGGAAAAAATGGTGTTGCATGCCAATGAGACTTGTTTTCTCTCCCAGTAGAGTACCACAGCTCACTTGGAAGGGGAGGGAACATATGTCGCACATGTTAGAACATGATACAAAAACTGTAATCATCTTTGAAGCAGCTTGATTTCCTAAGCCACAGCATCTGTAATAGTGTCAGACAGGCCAGTTCTTTTCCATAAAATCCCAAATACAGGCATAATCCATCCCAAAAGATTAAAGCTTCTATCCCAAAAGACTTAAGGCTATTGCCAAAATTTTTCCAATTTTTTTTTTAATCAAGATGGAACTCTTTTGTCCAATCATAATAAATGCCTGTTAAATCACCTTCTCTGGCTTTGTAGTTAAAAAAATTACATTTTGTCAACTTTTCCCTTGAATTCACTGCTCTTGGCAATCCCTTGGCCCTTTAATACCAGAATTCAGGACAAAAAGGAACCACTTTTCCTCATGAGCAGCCTGTGATCCACTGATTCACTGGCACAAGATGCTTTGCTATCTTTGATCTGTTTCATGCTTTTTTGTCAGCTCCATATTGCTAAGTGTCAGCTTCAGGACTGGGACTTAAGAATGCCAGAAACAATTGCGTTTATATGGTTTACCTCTATGTTTTTATTGAAGCATAATTTCCCCCAATTTAATATTAATAGTGTCTGTGAATGAATATTCTACTCAAAAATAGTTTTGAAAGAAAATAAATCTCTTGATATGGCTACTTTTTCACTTCCAGGCAATGTTTTTTGCTTGCGGCATTTTGGGGTTTTTTTTAATATTTGGTGTCAAAACTTAACTATAACACTTTTTATTCCTTTCATACCAAACCATAACTGGGGTGAGGAGGAAGCAGTTTAACTTTCACATCTCAGCTTAAATCTGTGCTTTTTTTTTTTCATTTTTATATCTAGCTTCTGCCAGAGAAATTTAAAAGAACTCCAAGCACTAGGTAGTAATTATTGTTCTCATTTGAAGTGGTTTTTTTTCACTGCATAAGTTTTGACTTATGCATTCCAAGGGAGGATGGATGATGTCCTCCATTTTTAGGCATGACTATATTGCCCAGTCTTTATTTGATGAGGTTTACCCCAGACATCACTGTGTCAACAGTTTCAGAAGATCAGATCTTGTAATAAATACTTCACCAACTCTTCAATAAGTGAATTGTGAAGCTTTGGTCTTGTACAGTTTAAATTTGGAGCCTCCAACTTTGACAGATTTTACATGATATGCAGTCTTTATTTACCCTATGGATAAGGAAGCATTTAATGCCATCCTTAATGCACAGAAGCAATGTCCTAACAATCAATGATTCTCAGCTTCATGCACACTAAATGCATAGTGTATTATACATTTTCAGGCTGCGATCATTCCGTTTGTGCTTCATATTCAATCAACCATGCAAGGGTCACATCTGTAACCTTGAAAAGGTGATGACAGAGTTGCAGGTCATCATCAGGACTAATGCTCACTAGTAATGCTGCAGCTGCTGTGTGGGATGTTGGTCTCCAGGGAGGAGTCAGCAAAGGGTTACTCAGATTCTAGAGCAGTTTTTTCTCAGCACTGTCTATTATGAATTGACAAATTTCTGTCTTTTTCTATGTAATTGTGTACTTTGGGACTTTATTTCTTCCTGGTAGTGCTTCCTGTGCTGATTATTCTTCTATTTTAGAAAATAAGGAGAGAATGAGCAGCGAAAGTATGTGGCATTTGTTGAGAAAACTTGTGTTTGCATAAAATGACAAACTAAATCCTCTATATGTATATTTCCAGAGTGAATATTATCAGAAAGATTGTTGCCGTGTACCTGCAATTTTCAACAACATTCAGAATTCCCACACACCTCTGATTATCAGAGTTCTTTAAAGTGGTTGTTTATAGGATGATAGGATGAGTGTTGCAAGCTCTGAGAAACTTCTTGCTTCTGATAAAATGCAGAAAAATTTGCAAAAGTTGTGAGAGTTTGAGGCAGGCAGAAGCAGTACAAACGAAACTAAGAGAGAATGCTGTGCTTACATAAAGCAACTGCTGGAATTTGCTATTCTGTAATGAAAGAGCAACTGGGTAATCTAGCCTAATAAGAATGATTCCTTTTTCTCGTGTAATTGAAGCTGCTGCTGCCTTATTGTGCTATTTTTCATACAAATGAAGTGATTTCCCCCTCCGCTTGGATAGGAATGACAATTGTACTCCTTCGGGATGGCCACTTAATAAACTAGTGTCTAGTTTGAGACACCAACTGCTGGATCCAGCAGATTTAGATCACTAAGCATGAAAAGTTCTTTACTCCGTTGCGTGCAGCTGCATGCTGGCCTAATTTTCCAGAGAACAAAAATGTAAATTATTTTCATTAACTTTGCTGAAATCTGTCTCATGTAATATGCCTCATGCTTCAAAGTATACTGTTAAACATCTTTATGAAGTTAACAAACATCAGAATGAGATGCAATGTGGTGATAGCAATAGTGTAAGGCTTAGGTTTCCTGATTTATTGTAGTCTTCTGGTGTGACATGAGCACGTCATCTCAGCTTCTGGCTATGTCTGTGCTCAGCGCTGTACTGGAGACACAGAACCTAGTCCTGATCACTGGTTCACTCGTGTGCAGCAGAGTGCAATGTTTGCACACCCTCCCTCTCACATACTGGGTGAATATTGCAGCACCAAGCTCCTCATGGGCTTGCTCTCAGCAAGACCGTGCTTTCCTTCAGAAGCAGCTTAGGTGCTTCTGTGCTACTCAGTGCTGTGCATGAAAGGTATTTACAGGGAAATTTACAGTGACCTAAATAAGCTCTGTACTTGGAGAGCGACAGTGTTATAAGCTGCCTGGTATTAATGGTAAGAAAATTTAAAAAGCAAGTGACTTTAAGATTTAGGAATTTAAAAAGTCTTTTAATTTCTAGAGTTATAAAATCTTTTACTGTATTTCTGACAGCTGCAGTGAAAATGACTACTACATTTTATGTCATACAAATACAACACATCTGAAAACTTTTTTCAAATTATACTTAGTTTTTCATATGCTTTGCAACTTCAGCAATTTGCATATTTTCCGGACTGTTATTGTATTATGATAAACAGGGATTATCATATATTTTCAGATAATGTTTTCTTAACAATTCAACTTCTATTTGTAACTCTTCCATTTATTTTAATTACTAGCACAGTGTGCAACATTTATTAATCAGCAGAGTCTTTTTAAGTTAAAATACTAAATTAGCTAACCCCATTAACACAGAATACTCCAAACAAGCAGTAATAGGAGAGGTAGTTACTGTGCAAATCGTATTATACATGCGGGTGCTCTAGGGCACAGTTAAGCATGATTACCCTCTTTTGATCCAGTATTCCTCTGCTTCTTCCAGCTAATTTCCACTGGAAATTTACAAAGTAGCGCCTTCATTTTTCCATCTTAATTTTTCTAATGAAGTTCTGGTACTTTATAACACTGGGGATGCAGATAATAAGTCTGTGTATAATTAAGAAGTTGCAGAATTTGCTGCAGAAGAGATCTCTTTTACTTCCTAAAAGAACTAGACTATGGTTTTATTTTCCACTTTACATTATCACAGACAGGGGTTAAATAAAAATAGCCAGAGGATTCTTAGATTTACTGATGTTACGATAAAAGTGATTAATAGTTTGTTGAAAAGGTATGTATTTAGTATATTACCAGAAACAGTATTTGTAATAATGCACCCAAGTAAGTTTCTTATGGCAAAAAGAATGCGCTAAAGATAATGTGACTAGATATGTTAAGTAAAATGTTCTGTCTTTATTTTTGTATCTAAGACTTTGATTTTAATATGCACTCATTATAAACTAAATAATGGCTGACTTGCTGCAATTGTTTTGCTATGGAAAACCATTATGCTTCTTTCTTTGTACCCTGAGTGAAAAGATAGACACTGTTGGATTTGATGAAAAAATTGTTTCAGGTATAATCCAAATTTGAAAGCTTAAAATTAATTTCATGTTTTATTAAAGAAGAAAAGAAGAAGATAAAGTGTTCCCAGATTCCCAGTAGAGAAACATGGTTTGTGTGGAGCTAATTGTTCATGGAGTTCTTTAAAGGGAGATGAAATTGTTTGATTTGAATTAAATCGAGACAACAAGGAATTGAATTGCTATTGTGTAGAAACACTTTAGATAAAAATTTAACAACACTGTCACACAGAGTGTTAATATTTTGGTGGTGTTTTTACTACTAGATTATAAAAATGTTCAGTACCAACAAATGTGAAAGTTTGAAAGACCACATAAGCAGTATTCAGGGTTTTATATTTCTTACTGTGCCCTGGTAGTGTAGTGTGTGTGGGAGTCTAGCGGTAGATCTGACAGTTCTTTCTCAGCAGCCCGAGTATGTTTGGAAGCATTTCTGGAAACAGGATTACATGCTTGCACTGCTAGACTACTGGGATCTTGCCTCTTGGGCAGGTTCAGAGAACACGCTGAAGGACCCCTCTGTTCTTTTGCTGCCCTTTAAATTCAAGAAAAAGTTACTGCCTCTGTACTGTGTCCCACTGGTAGTTACCATGTAGCGTTGGGACGCTGCTGCCCAGCAGTAAATGATGGACCTGACAAATCCTCCTCCCTGTTTGTGCTGCTGTGCTCTCCCCTCACGTTGCTGTAAACTCTGGAAACCGGTACCTGCTGCTGCTTCTGTCATTTCCGTCAATCCAGCTGGAAAGCCTTCAGCGTCAAACGGGCCTCTTCCATCTCCTGTCACAATAGTAAGAGAGATTGCAATAAAAGAGACAGAATAGAGGGAAGAAATGGTAGGTGAGGAATGCAGAAAGAGAAATCACGGAAGGGGGCATGTTAACATGTTGAGGGGAAAAAGGATTAGAAAGATGAAATTAATAGTAGAAGGAAGGTGCAGGATAGGATTAGTGAAGGGAGAGATAAAGTAATTTTGGTTTTGTTAACAACAAATATCAAGGGTGTCTTTGAAATCTAAATATACACCACTAGCAGCTGTCAGGTCCTCCATTGGCTACTAAGAGGGCTTCTAGATCTTTTTACGCTAATTAGGTTCAATATACTGTGGTCCTGGCAACAGTGCAGCTGGCCTTCATTACCAGTGACTCTGCCAGCCTTGGTCCTGGTCCTCCTCCCTCAGGTTGTGAATGTGTAATACTGCAATTTGTAGAACCTGATATAGTTTCTCACTTTTGGTTCCAACTCTTTCCCTCTGTTTTGAATGTATTCTTTGGCACACATCTCATTCAGGCTGTTGTGATATTTAAAAATAAAATAATTTTTAATTTTTAAATTTATTTCTCCAGGGAAAGTTTACCTCCCGCTGAATCATCAGCTTTTGGGAAGGCTCAGCTTATACTGACTATGTTTTATGGCATGATAAAATATCTGTGTGGTATTTAATTCTTCTTTGATCCTGCTACTTCTGTCTCTGTCATGTGTAATGAAAATCTGTAAGAATTTCTGAATTTTCACCTAAATCACAAGGAAAAGCTGAAAACCAAATGAAGGAATAATGAGTGAACCTTTGTAGGAAAGAAAACTATTGTAATCTAAACCTTTGCAGTTGATAATGATGTCATAACATTGTCTGGATTTAATTTTCTTCTCCTTCCATCACTCTCTTCTGTCACAATCAGACCACATACTGTCATTAATTTTGGGAAAAGCTGTGTCAGGTTTATACACAGAGCTAGAGAACATAATACCATTATTGAAATGTTTTGCAGTGCTATTACTTTTTACTATTGTTATTGGTTGTGGGGGTATAATGACTTCTGTATGACTCCCATTAATTTGGTTACCCTGCTTAACATAAAAAATTGTTTAAATTTTTTTAATTAATTGTTCACATAGAGTAATGAAAAGTCTCACTTACTTTAAACAAACATTGAATTTACAAGCGTATGATCCTTTCTTGTAGTTAGAGCATTATTGCTATAAGGATCTTCCCACCTGACTGACAGCAGAATTATAAACAGAAGAAAAAGCTTCTACTTGATACCATTACACCCTATTGTATTTTTATTTTTTTTATTTAAATTTTAATATTTTTTATTGTTCAGTGTTCTTCCTTTCATTCCTTTAGGTTTTTTTTTTACTCAGCCACAGACATACATTCCAGGCTGTGTGGCACATATTCCAGGTAATGATCTTAGAGGAGATATGCAGCAGAATGCAGAAGAGTGCTTTTGTGCTAAAGTGAATGTAGAACATACTGTTACTTCTGTCTCAAAGTGTTAAAATTTATGTATTTTTTTGTTCAGAATCATAGTAGAACATACGTTACTCTGAGTATTTGTTTGCCAAAAAGACAAAGATTAACTGATCTACAGTAAAATCAAAACCTCTATGTAGAAAATTTTATAGGAAAAACTATAATAATTTACTTCTACTTTCCTCAAATTTTTTTTACCATTTTGTGTGTAAATTTTACAGACATGGTTTTCATATTAAATTATGAATGCTATGGCTCAACTAAATTCTATGCATATATGGGCAAATCCCTAAACTGCAAGCCTTGTCTTCTCAGCTATCCAATCCCCTGAGAAAGCCAATTTTCTTTCATGTCTGAACAAAAGAAAAATGTACTATTAAAATGCAATTCAGAAGTGATAAAAACTGCAAGTGGAGCAGCCGGCTCACAGCACCTTCAATGTATTCTCTGGGACACTGGGGCCACATTAATTTTTGTGTGTGTGTGATGTCCATCCCATGTGCAAATTAGCATTACAAGTACCGTAATCTGTCTTATGTGAGGGTGTCATTTCCCATGGGTATACACATGCTACTGTAGCTTCGTATTATTTAAAAGTCTGCTAACTCAGTGTTTTCCTTTTACTAACTTTACATGATATTTGTTTGTGGCACTTGATAAAATAAATTGATACAGCTGATAAAATTCTAAATAGTTTCTTTTTATGAACTACAAAGAAAGAAATGTAATTTAAGAAAGCGCTCTAACAGTTGCTGATGAATCAATTAGTCAAAATAAATAATTTTCTGAATCTGTATCAGCTGAGAGACAAAGAAAATTATTTTAGTCCACATCTTTATCAAGAACTTGGTTGACTCCCTAACTCTTACAGGGACTCTGGAATCTGAAAAACTTTTGGCTGAGGAAACTTTCAGCTGAAAAACTACACCTGTTGTCATGGCAGTTAAAGTGATATTTTAAACTTCTGGAGCATATATTTCTAATTTCACTGTACAATATTTTTCCTGCACTTCTAGAATAAAGAATGCATGTTGTTTTTTCAGAACACCACCAACGATAAGCTTAATTCACAATGTTTTACTTTATAGTAAAATTTACTTTTTCATTCTTGTGACTCTCTTGCAAACTAAAATAGATGTCACCAAGACATCTTCGGAGGGTGTCTTGCAGATCTTGCATATCCTTTATATATAAGACATTTTTCACTTTACTTCATGCTGTTTGCTCTGGAACCTACCTAGAAAACTTATAGTTGTCCATGACGCTTAGGGACATCCGTCTGAAAACCTCTTCCAGCAGGTAGCTGGAGCTTCACTGTTCCCTGGTACTGTATAAGCAGGGAGTCCATCATCAGTATGACCAAAGATGAAAGAATCCAAGTCTGAACGACTGCTGATTATGACATAACTGTAACTTAAGAGTAAAGTACACAATTTGAGAATTCTTGGCTTGGTGGTCTGCCAATATCTGACAGACAATGTGAAAGTTTCTGTTCTGCTAAATGAGAGAATTCTGTTAAATTTTAAATTCTAATTTAGAATTGCTAGATTTTGGTAAATATGGTTTATTTATTTATCTTTGGTTAACAGATGTCAAAAGATGCATACCTGGCTTAAGGTACAGGGAGGATTATTTATGGTGCAAGTCTGCCTTGGTTTATGCTTATACTGCTGGCGTGCTTGAAATATTTATGTCCTGAGGGAATGATCAGGTTTAGGTTGTGTGTTGGGAGCCTACATGACTTGACATGTGGATGCAAAGTTCTCCAAAAGTGATATCTATCCTTGTGTGTGGTGAGTGCTTGCCACTGACAGCTGGCACAGACTGCACTGCCTGCTAAGGTTTGAGGGATCAAAATGCAGATCCCAGCAAATTGAACCCTGATCGTTCCTCACATCACACCAATTGTTAGTGCAGATACAGACAAAGTAATAATCTAGTAATGCAAGTGAACCAAGTTAGATCTTTGTACAGAAAGTCTTCATTTTATCCTATTGAAACTCTATATCTCTTTGCTCCAAATTGAACTTGAAAGAAGCCGCAGGAGAAATTGCAGTAATCCTCTCACAATACCAAGGGGAAGCATTAAGAAGGTAGTGAAAAATAGCAGGAATGTGTCTGCACGTCACCTCTTGCAGTGTTGTTATCCATTATTTACATCCATCCTGTGGCATCTAGAGAAGAGCATAACTGATTTTTAAAATGTTCTTGAATTTCAGATTCCTGCCATTTTCTTCATATCGTAAGAATGAGAATGAGAAGTATGAGCCATCACTTTGTAAGTCAGGCAAATATGTCCAAGAAGCTTATGGAACCAAACATTTCAGAGAAGTATATCCTAATAAGTGGATAGCAGACAAGGTAAATCACTGCAAAAATCAAAGAATTATTTACTTTTTTAGATCGCTATTTTATTAGAACTAAGTGAATTTGAGTCTGATCCAGAGATCACAGAATCCAATGGGATTCTTTGTAGCATGTTATAAAATCACACAGAGCTGATGTGATGAGATGTCAGATTTCCTTGACTCTCTGGTAAGTTCAGTTTGAGGAACTTTAACACCTGTTCTACCTACAAGATCAGGATTTAAGTGCCTGATTAAGTACAGCTTCAGTTGTGTACGTTTTGCTAAGTTTTGTTCTATTTGTATTGCCTTTTATGATTTAAGAGAGATTGTATATTTACTCTTGGACATCAAGATAAAGCTTGAGGAAATTATGGAAAAACCGGACTAAAACAACAAAGTATTTTACTGCTTACATTCTTTGAAAAAAATCTTGAAACTAGTGAATAGCTGTTTTTCTCTTAAGATTATCTCATTAAGTTGCTTGCTTTGTCAGGAGCATCTCATATATTTCTGGTTTTGTAGTGCTGCAAGAGGTAATTTTTCTCAGAACATGTTCTAACGTGACTTGGTGTAGTGTTTTGCATTGTGCTTATTTGCATTAGGTATCATAATCACATTAAAATTTCCAAGTACAAGAAAGATAATGGACTTTGCGGCTCGGTGCTACACTCTCTGCCAAGATAGTTAAGGGGACTGCAGCATCTTTTGTAGGAGGAGAGGCTGAGACAGCTGGAACTCTTCAGTCTGGAAAGAGAAGGCTCAGAGGAGATCTTATTAAAATGTATAAACATCTGATAGGAGGGAAAGAAGAAGAGGGAGCCCAGCTTCTTTCAGACTAAGTAGTGTCCAGTGACAGGACAAGAGGCAATGGACACAAGTGAAGTGCATGAAATTCCAACGGAACACAAGAAAACACTTTTTAAAAATTTTCTTTATTTTTCTGTGAGCATGACAGAGCACTGGCACAGGTTGCCCAAAGAGGCTGAAGAATCTCTATTCTTGGACATATTCACAGTCCTAGGCAACCTGCTTTAGCTGTAGGAGGATGATCTCAAGAGGTCTCTTCCAACGTCTACAATTCTGGGATTTTGTAAGATATGATTACGTATTGCCCTGGAAGTAGCTTAGCCCCAGCAAATTCCAAGGAATCTTATTTTGAGAAGGAATATTTTTTTATAAAGAATTATTTCTCTAAATTTGAAGCTTTAAAAATGAGCTCAGAGTAAAATTTTGGTATTTTAACATGCATTAATTATATCTCATTGCACATAGAGTTCAATGTTCAAAAAAAAGATCTGAATTTGTCTTTCAAAAGCAATGAGTGGAAGATATGACTGGCTGAAGTCCTACAGCATAAGTGTGATATATAAAAAGGACCTAAATGTCTTATTGCTGGTACTCCTCTTGTCCTATAAAGACTTCCTTTTCTAGTCCTTAGCAGTTCTTGATCAGGCTCAGATGATGATATAAAAAACAGTAAAGATATTTATACTGTGTATCATGTGACACATATATAAATTATGGGTTTCACTGAAAGAACTAGACTCACTTTACTTGTGATCTTGGATAGATATCAACCTAAATCTCCGGAGGTGAATAGCTGTATACATTAACCCAACATGACATACAGCCTTCCAACCCCAATTCTAAATCAATATGAAGCTTCCATTAGGAGCCGCTTACCCAAACAGAGAGATAAGAGGAGAAAAGAGCTATTTATGACCTACCTGCTGCTTTAATGGGTCATTATTATCAGGGAAAAAAACAAAAAGAAAACCAAAAATTCCACCTCCTCACTGCAATTTAATGGAAAAAGACCTATAGGCAGGTGTGAGGTCATACTTTCATAACTGTTAAATTTGATAGAACTCTGTTGCTTTTTTTATTTCTAAATTATATGAAAACTTTGAATATATCAGTGGTATGAACAAAAGTATCCTGTTCTAATGAATCACAAGGCTAAAGGGCATGTAACAAAATATTAGAAAAAAACAGATTTTTGCTTAACACAGAGTTCTATTTGCTGAATGGAACCCTCCTTTGAGTTTCCCATGAGGTGATATTTTGTGGATGCAACTTCTGTTACAGCGTGTGCAGCTGATAACCCTGCCATGATCTATATTCAGCTTCTGACAGTCTTGTGCTAGACCAGGTTCCCTTATTATTGCTGTTAAGACTGTGTAAGTTCTTCCAAAGAGTCAGTTCAGTGGTAGTGGATCAGTGACCCCTCTGAGCTGCTGAGGTATTATTTGGTGTTAGCTGGTATTAGGTGGCTTTTTAAAAAATTACATATAAAAAGGCCCTGTGTATGTTCATGAGCACATCCTAGCTGTGTTTTCCTGAGGTTTTCATGTGTTTGAGTATGCATTTTAATTCAAGTCACAAAAAGATTAGTATGTAAATTATATAATTACTTTAGAAGCAAAATGAACAACAATGAAAAATATTGCCTTGTTATATTTCCTCTGGAAAATGAAAGGGTATTAGCATAGACTTTCTCTAAACATAATAATTACCATATCTATGTGAAGAAAAGTTAATAGTTCTTTTTTTCATCTAGTTATAATCTGAAAATTTTTATCTCATTCCGTTTACATTTCAAAGAAGTTTGAGTTAAGGGGAAAACTGTTCTATTCTAATTCTTCATTATAAATAAACAAGAAATGGAAATACCTCTAATGAAGCTGAATCTAGTTAGTTTACTCAGTAAATCACTGTAAAAAATAAAATTGCTTGCATATTTTAGGTTTTACATTGTATATCTAAATACATGGAAATGCCTTTGATAGAATTTATGTGAGATGTTTCAATATAAAAAATTTACCAATCATTATGAATTTAAACTACAATGATAGGTTCCAATGTAACTGAGCAGTCAAGGATTGAAATACACTAACTATAATCTTTCGGTTGTCAAAACATGCACATATGTTCATATTTACTGAAGCAGAAATGGTAGCTTACAGTCTTTAATCAGTATTGGAATTAGTTTGCATATGCATTTTATAAAACTGACTTTAATGACAGCATTTAATGTTTTCTTATTTATAAAGTTCAGGAAGTGATATTTTAAGGTGTTCTATTCTGATAGATTCTTCCCTCTGATGCCTTATTATAGGTGAATTACAGTACAACTGAATCACTGTTTCATTATTTGCACAGGCATTTTGGCCCTAAACAGGATTTTATTATCTACAAAGCATAAAAATACCCAGGACTGCAAAGAATTAATTTAGAGAACCTAAGCATATTGCACAGAACATAAAGTTGACCTTTACCGTCTACAGCTCTTGGAATGGAGTGGGATGTGGAACACATCATAGATTTAATGTGGCACAACACTGTCTGCAGAAACTTGGGTGGGACTGTGACTGCCTGCCCATTGCACCCGATGATTGAATCTGCTGTCACCAGCATCCTGATAATAATGAACATTCAGCTTAACGACCGTGATTATGATTATCATAATTGATGTGCAAGTGCAGTGTGTGGGGATCATTACAGCTGAACTGTACAGCAGAGAAACATGCCTTAGTTATGGATAATTTTACCTTTATGCATTGATTGGGATAAAATATGCCTTTCAAATTCAACAGGCCAACTTGATAAAATTTTAAGATGTCTACATGTATGAATTGATGTTTACGAGCTTCCTGCAAAACAGCCTCCTGGCTGTTTGTTTTGAATTGTTTCATTCCATTAATAACAGGAAATAGTTAAATAATTAGACATCGCTGAGTGGAAATCACTTACAGAGTACTGCCAGTGTTAATCAAATATCAACTTCAATATTTCTGATTGTCATGGTCTTGCCTAGGCTAGGAAAAATAGCCCTTGTAATTCACCACCAACACAATTCTAGTTTTGGTGGAGCAGTTGAAATAGGACTGTGGTCAACAGTACTGGCATTTTCACACTGCACTGTGTAGAGCAGGCAATACTTGTTCCATGTATAAATTATATTGCTTCCATCTTTGTCACCGGAGGCAGAGAATTACAGGCTCAAATTCAACCAGTGTAGATAAAGGTGCAATCAACAACTTCAGTCAATTTTGTTGAACAGTGATTACCTTCAACTGCGATTACATGAAGTTGCAGAAGTATTTAATTAAACCATGACATATATAACAGATAAACACAAGTATATTTTAAGCCAGAGTTTATATAAAGAATATTACAACATAAGTATAATGAAAAGTATAGAGTTTCATTGCTTTACACTAGGTGTAAATTTAGCTCTTTGTCCAAGAACTGACAGATTTTCAGTCTGGGATAATAGAGAAAACAGATGGTAGAAAAAAAATCCTTGTAGAGGGGGAAAGTGATTCTTTCTGTTTGAAAATTAGTTTAATCTCTTTTAGGACCACGACATATAACAATCATGCGTCTAGTGGATGATGTCATTGTGCGAGGGAATTTTTGATACACTGTTCATGCTTTTCCATCCCTGCTTGTATTGAAATTTATTTAAATTTTGCCGTAACTCAATTTTTTCTAACCCTCCAGTCACTGGACTTGAGAATAAAAATAATGTATGTGTGAAGTTTTGAATTCTTTCTTGCTCAGACTGTGCTTGTTTTCATTTTAATTACAAAAAAAAGATTATCCAAGAACATTTTCTAAGACAGTGTGGTATTGGCTAATGAATGTGCATCTGTACTATCAGCTTTATTACCTTTTAAAACTTTAAAGGCCATATTTACTAATGCTTTGTGACAGAACTAAGTTACTGACGCACAATAGAAGAGCTAACACGTATTATGAATATCAGAGACTTAGTTCCCCAGTCCAACCTCAATGTGTTTTCATGGGCAATGCAGAGCTTACATAATGTGGCAGCCAGAAGGGAATTATTAGATGAGCTGTACGAGTTTGCTTGTTACAGTACCGGTTTCCTCATGAACCATGTCATGGATAATAAGGATTGTTGCCAAGTGTGTTGCACTCCAGCAGTCCCTGGCCAATGACATGGCTCCTGTATGGTTATTACTGCTGGCATGACTTGATGTATCT